TCTTCCAGTTAAAGATAAAATCTTAACAAAATTAAAGACTCCAAATAAGCTCGAAATTTCTAGCCTTTTTCATATAATTAATGATAATAATATTATGAGTTTGACTGTAGTGGACTGGTGTGTGCAAAGACTACCTGTTAGGGACGATTAGTAAAGAATAAATTAGACCTATAAGGAGAGTCTAGAAGATTTGACCTTGCGGAAGATTTGTGTCTAGAGTCAACCACTTGTTAGAAGAGACAGATAGCAAAGACGGAAATTCAAGTGGACATAGAGAAGACAAAAGTGATGCAAATAGTCAGTCAACGGGAACAACAACAACCAGCGCCAATCACTTCTAGGCAAATTCATTTCAACTAAAAGTAGTCAGCACTTATGAGAATGACGAAATCAGACGTGATCGGAAAGGTGAGGTAGACATGCATCCTTCTGAAGTAGTCTGGTAATCTTTTACACTCATCATGAAGAAGTAAACTTGGATATTCAACACCAATGTTATGTAAGTCAGTTCTTCTATATGAGTCAGAAGCTTGACTCGTGCGTAATGAAGTGAATTCCCAACAAGTTACCATAGATTTTTATCAACAACTGGCTCCATACTGAAGATCGAACGGCCGACCGGTTGGCTAGCAAGAAGTAGCAACTAGAAACTATAGGAACAAGTTAACCAAGCTTTTATCATTAAATAAATGTGTAAGAGAAAATAGAGATGGATTGTACACATGCCACTGAGCAGACCGTCGGTCGCCAGTCAGGACATATCTCTAGTGGAATTCAAATGTAAAATGACGTGTGGGTTGTCAGTGCGAGTGCTACACGGAGGACATAGTGCGAGTAGGAGGGTATGAGAGATTACTGGCAGTAGTGCCCCCAGCTGAATAGGATAGCGGAAAATAGAGTAAAACCAGTTGTAGAATATATTCTCTGTTTGTTAAATGCATAATATTTTCTTCCCTCACCCCTTATTACCACTGTTGTCAACTTGATATACGTTCAGTTTTAATTTTATTTGAGCTCTAGTCAACCTTATCAATTACAGCACGTTACTCAAATTGTTCAGGTAATCTTACTTTTGAAGTGAAAGTTAAAAGTTGTAAATTACATGGTACTCAACGGAACAAAGATAGAAGTTTGATAAGGTTAAAATTGCTCATGAGTGAGAATAAAGTTATTAGTGTCAATTTAACAAGTGTGAAGACGGTGTAAAAATATACAAAAGGAGCATATGAAATTGACAATAGTGAATTAATTATTAAAGTAAAAGCAAACTAAAAGTAAAATTAAAGATTAAGAACAAAAGAAAAAATCAAAATTACTAGCTCAATTCTCGAGCATTTGGTGAACTCAGGCCACGTAGCTCCACCAGAGTCGTCTTTCAACATCATCTACAAAGTGAAGCCAAATTATACAAAGGGCGTTAGGTTTCGGCTTTTGTGTATGGTGGAGGCGCTGGCAATACATCAATACAACCCTGAACTCTGAATATAGAAAACGTTTGTCCAGTCTCATATTCTACCTTGGTCTCAACCTCTTCACTTATCGTTTCCTATAAAATATTTTTTGATTATTTCTTTTGTTCTTAGTCTTTAATTTTACTTTTAGTTTGCTTTTGCTTTAATAATTAATTCACTATTGTCAATTTCATATGCTCCTTTTGTATATTTTCACACCCTCTTCACACTTGTTAAATTGACACTCAAATACCACCTTTATTCTCACTCAAGAGTAATTGTAATCTTATTTTATTTTGTAAATCATTAACGAAATTTGTTATCTAAAATCTACAATTCTAATGACAAATCTTTAGAAATATACGTTTTTCTGCTAAGACAATTTACTACATGCAGCTTGTGCTCGATATCGCCGAAAAGAGAAGTAACTCTCTGCTGAACGCCTGTTCTTTGATATGACTCGATAGGGATTCTTAAGTTAAACTTTTAAGCTGACAGTGTTATTCTTAGGAAGCAGATCTAGTAGAATTATTCTTAACATTCACGTCACCAACTTGTATAATCACGAAGCAAGGAAGTGAGTGAGTGAGTGACTGAGTGAAAGCATGAATGAATGAATGAATGAGGCAGAAAGGATGTGATATTAAAATTTCTATTCAAACTACCAAGATTAGAAAATCAGATTAGAGAATAAAAATTAAATTAAAATATAGGCAAAAAAATAGGTAATCATAAAATGAGTTGTGGACTTATAGTCACATTTTTATGATTATTATTTTTTTCCTTTTCCGATTTATTATTTCTATGAGATGAGAAGTAACTGTTGATGTTTTCAATTTGCTGTCCACATTTTATTTCAAAATGTCTCTCGATATATATATAAAATTAAGAATAATTTTCAATATTCGTGTGTTGTTTTTCAGCAATTTTATTAGTTTCAAAATTTGGGAACAAGTGAAAAGTATGAAGAACTGGACACAGCTGTTTCGTCCTTGTTTGTGACTCTTCAGCACCATCCACTATGGATTGAAACCCTCAACATACAGATTACACAGCAAGTTCGTTGACCATTCAGTCACTGAGAACTAATTGAATGCACCATAAATTCTTACTTCTATGGATTTCTGAAGGGTAGTGCGATTGGTGAGTATTGGTTTTTTTTTATAAATTTTAGCTAAAATCACTCGTTTGAGGCCGACTTTATGAAAATCGGGTATAACCCCCTGATGAGCTTAGCCTCAAATGAATTAAACAGCAGTCTGATGTTCGGCTGACATCGATATGACTAGAAAGCATTACTGTTTGATGTAAACGTTAAAAAACTACTCAATTCACTTAATTAGTAGTATATATGGCGTCATGCCGTTACAGCTGTAAATAAGGAAGATTAGGCGACACTTCTAAGTTTGCTCTATGAAAGAATGTGCTCCACTCATCTTTCCATGCCTGGAATTTATTGCTTAATTCAGGTAGAACTATTCCATTTTCTTAATTATTTCCAGAGACTTCGTGCCTTCCTGAAAGCATTTACAACAGACGACACTGCAGACTATTAACCAAGTACCCAATCCTTTAGCCGTCTTAATAGTGAAGACCAGATAATTGACTGTAAAGGATAAGCAACACAGATCACTGGACAACAAATGAGAAGGTAACAAATTACTGTCGAATGTAAATTCAGGAGAAAATAAAAATTGATGAATCGGACATGCTCTAACAGGATATTTGTACGATATTACACTACAATCAGGCCATTCTGTAGAACCTATATAGGAAACTGCAGGTTAGGAGTCTGTTGGAGAATGGTATGTGAGAGATCATGCGAAGAAAGAATGATACCATGTGGCTAGCCCTAGATCCATTTGAGAATGATAGCAATGAACTAAGTAAAAGGGAGGTGAGCTGCTAAAGTCCGGTGTTTTACACGAGACTCAAGGAATCTTTAATAATAATAATCTAGATTATACGTCTTTTGTAGGACTTTGATTAATTTCAAAGCAGATCTGTGTAGTGCTGAACAGTCGTTTTTTCTTGGTTCTAGGCTCGTCTTCAATGTTCATCCAAAACACCATCACGTATTGAACCAGGGAGCCTCAGGTCATCAAAGCTAGCTACTTGGATTATTTGATAATTAAACCGTGAAGTTCAATAATGACTTTTGGAAACAGCTTTTGATTAAAATGAATTTCTCGCCTAGATAAACCTTGTTCGGCAGATTAGTCTCAGCAACGACAGGAATTATGCTTGAACTGCAGACAAAAAAATTTAAATATCATCCGCAAGATTACTAACCTGTTCAACAGTTCAAGTTGCCACACTCCATGTAGTACACAAAGCAAGAGAAGAAAGTAAAAAGAAATGCAAAATAGAGACAGTAAACAGAGATATGAGGCAAAAAGAATGGGAATAAGGAAGAACAGCAAAGTTTTATTGGATGTCATAAATCGCAAAGAGTAAATGGATCTGCGCCAGCCATTCAGAACGAGTTTGAGTCACACCACCAATGGTCTCCTGCCTTCATTGGTTTTTACCGTCCCGATTACTCCTACCAGGAAGTTTACACCTTCCTAAGTAGCTTAAACTAACTATCCAAAATTTTATTGACTGATGCCATGTTTTGTTCTGACCACCAGTGGCTCTTTTTTTATCTGATCAGTCCTGTATCAGCTAACATTGCACGTTGAGGGAGGCGATGGCCAGACATACGTAACACATGTCCTAACCATCTTAATCCATTCAACTTCACAGCTTCATCAATTGATTTAACCTCCTTACCTAGCACTTGGCCGATGCCTAACCTCAATAATGCTCTCCCAATTATATCACCACTTCACATGGGAAATAGAATGCAGGCATCTATGATCAAAGAAAGCTAGCCAGGCTTTTTCATGTCTCTCACTTTCACTTGTCAACGCTGGCATATGCAAAACGAGTCTTCTGTGTCTTTAGTAACACAATATTGATGCTGTTTCTTTATAACCAGTGACACTCAGATTCATTGAACACACGAAGTTTATAGATTTGTTTATACTTATTTTATTTGTTACTCCCTTAAGTTCCCAGTGTGACACAAACTTCAGCGGTACATCTTCATTTCATTCCAGTTTCTGAAGTCCTTCATTTTATCTGCTTCCACGATTACCGACAAGCTGTTATCTCTGCATCATTATGCTGGTAGAGTTTAGTTCCCACTGATGCTGTTTATGACATCATGATAGCCACTCCCTCAGTGTGGCCACGGTTGTAGTCCAAGTGAACAGAGTACAGAGAGAAGACACATTGACTAACTGACATCCAGAAGTATTTCACCAGCCCGCAACATACCGCCTCTTCGATTCTAGCAAAGCAAATTAGCATTTTTTTAAAGTATTTTTTTCGTGCATTATAGTTTCTGTAGCGATCTGATCGATTTTTCGAGGCAACAATAATTACCTTACTTACATTCAACCTTCTCTTCGTTTTTCCAGCCTTACAACCGGACTAGTAAACTAAGCAAATCTGAACTTTATAAATAATAAAATGAACAATGAGCCGAAAAATTCAACTCACCATCTTGATCAAAATAATTCCAAACATCACCAAATTGTGAAGCAGTAAAATTACGAAATCGTTTAGTATTTCGATCGAAAAAATCTAATAAACAATTGCCAGAACGATAGTTTTCCATGCGTCTTGCCTCTGGTATCTCAGTGTGTAATGCTTCACCTGGTGACATACTTAAACGTCTATAAGCCATAATAAATGTCTATGCTTTAATTATGTTGTATGCTTTTTTTTATTAATTGAATTAGTATTTTTTTTTCTTTTGGTTAACTAATTTATACAAAGTTAGTAAAAATAATAGTGGGATACTGTGAGATCTTATTTGAGAAAATTAAGCAAATATCCTTCTCATTTCGAATAACCAATCAAAAGTGAGCAAGAGGTGATGAATGATTGGTTCATTTAAGAAGCGATGAATGATACTTTGTTAAATATCCAGGTTATTTAACAGTACAAAAAAATGATAATTCGCTTTTGTTTTTATTTCTTTTAGCCTGAATACATTAGTATTACTATCTATTATTGTTTCTTGCATAGATCATTCAATATTCCAAAAGGAATAGGTGAATAGACTGCGATTTTATCGCATATGAGAAATTGAAACCGTCTTAGTATTCTATGTTTGAAAGAAGGGAACTTTAGCTTTTGATAACTTAGTTTTTTAAAGGTTACGCCCTTCACACCTACTCTTTCTTATTAATTATTTAACTAAATTATATACATTTAAATATGTATACTTCTTTGGTTGCTTTCAAAAGAACCGATTAACTTGAATTGAGTTTCAATAATATGGGAGAACTTGTGGCCAAGTTAAACTTTAAGCACCACTAACTACCAATGAAGTACGACTGTATCAATGACCTTGAAACACTCACTGAGCAAGTTAGTGAGACCTGGTAAATAATGTTGTCATCATCAATAAAATATGCTCATCGAAATGTTATGCTATTAAATGAGATATCTGGCAGGTTTGGGGAAGATTAAGTTACGCTTTATGCCAAAGGCAAGTTAGTGTTAGGTTAACCTAATCATGGCGACATTAGGGTTGGTTTGAGTCAGATTACAGTTAGCCTAGGGATATTTTCACATAAAGGTTAGGTTCTGAAAAAATTAGGGTTACATTTAGGGTCAGAAGACCTAAATAATTACATGCACAGAATGTGGTTAAATTACTCTATTGAGATAAGAATAAAATTGTGGTAGAGTAAAATTCCATTGTGGGTAAAATTTTATTTGATAAAGTCTCACAGTGTTATGCAGTAATATTTACCAATGACGTTTTGAGCACAATTGATTGCTGAGCAAATGTTACTGTATGACACTATGAAACTTTATCGAAATAAATTAGAACCACAGTGGAATTATACTCTGTTGATACTCCAACCTAAAACTGAGAGCTATTTTTATCATACGTGAGAGAAAGGTATTCTTTGTAACACTTTAACACAGTTTTTTTTCGAAATTATATGTGTTCCATACACAAAAATGCCTCCTCCACGTAATTGGTGCATTTGAGGTCATTTACTGATTGGTAGTTAGTGGTGCTCAGAGTTTAACTTGGCCGAACTTGTTCTGGAAATGCGTTGCAAAACCTAAGATAAGATAAAATAATGGCTTTATTCCAAAACAGTACTTGTGATACAGAATAGAATTCTCAGCATTTTACTACAGTATTGCATCCAGTTAGTACATTAACAACAAATAAAGTTCTACATAGATTAAGGTTATCTCAGTTAGTTTTGGCAACAACATATTTGCATGTCAGTAGCATAGCCAAAATTAAACAGAGTGTTAGAAGGTGTTGGAAAAGTAGGTTCTAGCATATTTACTGGCGTAAACAGAAGAAAGAAACAAAGCTGCATATAACAGAAAAAAATAGAGAGAGAGAAAAGGAAAAGAGAGAAAACGTTGTAACTATAAATGATATGAGTTGGAAAGACGAGATCCAGTTGTTCTACTGACTATTTAGTAAGTTAATTGTCTCACGCCTAGTGCTTTCTTTATCGCACAGAACACGAGCTAAGTAGGGTATGGATGAGCTTTTGTACTTACTAGTGCGGGCATATAGTTTCCTATATAGGCTTCTGGTTTTCCCTGAAGAGATACAAGGGGAGAGTTGTGAATGTAGAGGGTGTTGTGAGTCAGATAAAATGGATTTTGCCCATTTTTCACATGAGTCCATGTGCCTGTCCACCAGAATATTAACGAGCTGGCTAAGTGGCTAACTGCTTACCCTGCTGACAACCTTTAACATCCTGCGTAACAAGGTATAGTCTTTCTTCAGTAGCCCTGGAAAAACTAAGGGGGAAAAATAGAGAATAATAGGCAGAATACGGGAGTTAACAAATTGTAGGAGTAAGGGTTGGTTTACACCAGAATGTCTTAACTTCTTGATGTAGAAGGTAAGATGGAATACTGTCTTAGAAATCATCAAGATGTGAGACGACCAGGAAAGATCAGAAGATAAAGTGGTTTCTATTTCAGTGCCATCAATGTTGCACACCTCGTGAGTGCTAACCAGTTTGTTTAGGTCAGATTTGTGCCTTAAGGTGAAATTAACTGTTTGGCATTCGGAGGCGTTTAAGGTGAGACCGTTTTCCTTTGACGATCGGCTGACAAATTCTTGAATTTGTAGTCTCTACTGAATGCCGGTCACTGCAGAAGTAGTGGGTGGATGGTAGAGAACGATTCTTCAGTGCTGGCATTGTGGCTATTTTGGACCAGGTAATTTAATACTGAACTGTCAATAGTATTTACTATACTTTTACTTAGCCAAACTGGTGGGTGTTCCTAAGAGAGCACAAAAAATAATTTCCTAGAGCAGTGGCCAATATAACTAGCTCCACCACTGGCGCAGTTGAATTAATATAAACAATTAGAAGTGGCTAGTCAAGACACTTCATCTTTCCATTGAAGAATCACCGTCGGTGGTGTAGAAAATATGACTCATAGTTTAGCAGCATTACAATTTCCTTGAATATATTTTCTTTACTTGTTAGTAATTAAATTGACTAGGCGCGAAGCCTTTGAATTGAAGTTGTATATATAAAAGCTTCTTATTTACAGAGGGTAAATAGTCTTTTTCTGCTTTCTTGTTAGATTGTTTTTTGATAAACTTTTCCGGATAGCTATTTTCAATTACGGTGTTATATGAAATCCTTAGTTCATCTTCGGTTATCTCTTCTGAGCACATACCTCTAACTCTGTGGCTGAGGATCCTTACTAAATTTATTTTGTACTGGAGAAGAATGAAACGCTTGGCCTTTCCAGCTAGAGATATACCCATTAGAAAACAATTCTTTAATGTGTAAAATAGTTTTTAACAATAAGAGATGTGGACGAAACAAACATGAAAACAAACTGAAATAATATTTTTTCACAGCTGAAAATGAGAAAGAAGTCAAATGAATGAAAACACGAAAACTAATGTGTCATACCGATCTCGATCCATGGTAAATGTCAGGTTTGGACTAGTTTCTTTCAGAAACATACTTTGGTATTCCGGTGCATATGGCCAGAGTTTCTGCAGTATAGAAAAGGCAGAAACACACTGACTTTGCTAAGTCTCTGTTTACTTCGTAAATGATAATAATAATAATTTCGCTTTTATTCCAGAAACAGTACTTGTGTTACAGTGTGGAATTTTCAGCACATATCTACAATATTACATCTAATTTCGTCGCACATTTAAAAGGAGTATTACAGAAAAATATGCATGAAAAAACAACATCGAAAACTAAAAAGAAACACAAAAATATCAAAAAATTCAAATAAAAATACCAAGTAGAAAGGAAGATAAACACCAATAATGAAAAATATTTTCCTAGTGGAAGCTATGATATGTGTATGCGTGGTGAACAGTAACAGCTTTAATCATACAAGAAGTTATGAAATGTTCTTAAGAATGTTTATAGCCAAGATGATTAGTTAATTTAACTGAACTACGCTAAACAATCATAAAATAAACATTTCAGGGTTGTTTTTTTATTGTCAGCTCTAATGCGGTGTTTGTAGTGGTAGTGTGAGTAATCATGCATAATACAAAATATTTTAAGATGGTGATAGTGGCGTTCACAAACAAGATTGTCAGTTAAATAGTGCCGAACAAAGAACAACCACAAAAATTAATATTACATGATGGTTAATGACAGGACAATTTTGTAATAATCATAGTGATAATATAGTCGGAACCAGTAGATATACAAAAGAAGGAATAGAATAAAGAATTAAAAAGTAAGCCAATGATAATAATTTTAAGTAGTTAAGTATGTTTCAGAAGGTTGTTAACTGTAGAGTACAAATAAGAGAGTATAAGGGGGAAATAACAAGGGCCAAAATTATGTTATTAACAATAAAGCAAGTCATAAGTTTCACGCTTAACATTGTCCCTGTCACTTAGAACACGGGCCAAATATGGTATCGTTGAGTTCCTATACTTGGTTGTACGAGCATATATTATTTTGTACTGATTTCTGGTTCTACCTAATGAGATGCAAGTAGAAAGTTGGGAATAGAGGGGATGTTGGGGGTCAAAGAGTATGGTTTTAGACCATTTTTCGCATGTATTCAGACGCTTATCCACTAATGTAGTGACGAGCTGACTGAGTTTTACACCGCTAGTCCTACTAACTGCCTTCAACATCCTTCTCAGGATGGTATAGTCCTCTTTCAGCAACCCAGGAAAGACTAACAGGGAGCAGTTAAAAAGAATAATTAGGATACGAGAGTTCACAAATTTTGAAAGCAGAATGAATCTGAATGATGTGTCACGTGATATAATGTGACAGATGTTGACGAGATGCCCTATTACGGCGTCTCTGAATCAGCTAGTGCTTTCTGTTTACAGTCATTTTGGACGATTTTCTTTGATACATTTTGAAAGGAACAGCCTGTGAACCTAACTTCGCAGTAGTGGGTGTAGTGATATATATAAAGTAAAGTGGCCATATACTGGAGTTTGTCTTACACATCGCTTAGTAGTAGTTGGTGGCTAGAGAAAATCAACACTAGGGGTTATATTCTTTGGTTGCCAACTGCTTCTAAGCAATTGGAAATACAAAATCCAAATACAAACTGCATATTTTACATATTTAGCATCTATTTTCCAATCCTTTGTCATTTTATGTCTAAACTTCTTTTAATCTATATTCGTGCCTTCAAATTTTCACATCAAGCCAAAAATTATTATTACCGTTAATCTCCTTTGTTATTACTTGAAATTAAAAATAATAATTGTATTTATGTTAACTTAAGTATGTAAATGTAATTATTTAATTGTTATCATATAAGTAATTGAAAGAAGCGAATTCGTTCAATTTCAAAAAATTAGGAATTTCCAATGTCGTCTGTAGCAGGGTCTACGATTACCTACAAACTCTCATATCT